TGGAAAAGTACATGGCGTCTCCACTGTAAGTAGTAGAGACATTTTCTGAATAACAATACGTTCTCCGAAACGTGAAAACTAATACAAATGAAACTTGCTGCATTAATAAGATGTCAGGAAGAGTTTCGCTAACAAGATGATATTTTAATACAAAATGTTTTATTCATAAATAATGTAAATAGTAAATAATTGACGAAGAATACATATATATTCTAATTGATATTCGAATATTAAAATTTTTGATAAATGAAAACCTATTGTAAATGTATATCATAATATATCCCCAAAATTAATGCAATATATCCCCAGATTATAATATAAAATAATCCATAAAAGGATAAGTGGGTTGTATTCTAATAAAAATATATCAAAAATAGAATAGTCAACATTTGGATAAGATATATAAGATATATATATAAAATTTTGATTTCTGTTCATAAAGAATATAAATTAAAGATTGTATTTGAGTATTAAATGTTCGATCATGTATTTGCGATCATATACAAAATTATTATCAATTTTTAACAAATCAAATTAGTTATACTGCATCTCTGTTGATTCTTAAATGAATTTCATTATTAAAATTTTGATGCAAATTTTCAAAAGACTTAGATTACCTTCCGAAAATAAATGAGTGACTCTTTCGGTGTTTTTCTACTTGATAATGAAATAATATTCATTTCAATTCTAAGGTAGTGATTTAATTAATATTCAAACTGAATAATTAATGTCGCTTTTAGAATGTCCGAGATACCTAGCTTTTTATTAGTTGTAGACAAAGAAGAAGAATATTTTAATTAGGCATTATGATAACTTGTGCAGATCATCTGATTCAGATTTAATCACTGTAATATGTGATTGCAAAATCACTAATATGATAAATTCATAATACTTATAAAATTAAATTAATAGTCGTGAATGAAAAAGGTTCTAATAGTATACGTGTTTTTCTTTAAATATGCAAATAAACATAATGATAGAATATTAACATAATTGAATTCTAAATGAATCAATGTGTAATTAAATAATTAAATATGCAAATATAATTACTCATATTCAATTTTTTCACGCTAATTACCGATGTCCATTGATTTAATCATTCGCAAATTAGCGCTAAAATAGAAAATAGGTATATATAATATATATATATATATTATATATATATATATATATATATATAGATATATATATATATATATATAAATATAGGGGGTGTATATATTATATATATATATATATATATATTATATATATAGTGGTGATATATATATATATATATATATATATATATATATGTGTGTGTATATATTATATATATTATATATATATATATATATATTCATTTTTGTTCAGATTTCGCCGAGGGTTGTTCACAATTATCTTAATAATACGCTTATACATTCAAAGAAATCAAAACGAGCTACAATAAGCATTCATTAACATGGAAAAATTATGTTCTGGAATTTCGACCTTTTAATGTTCTGAAATAGAAATGTATATGAACAAAATTATTTAAGGAGTAATTTGGTAATGGAGTCGCTTGTAATTAGACTAATTTGGTTTTCTACTTATCCAACAAAATCTTACAGGAATTTAATAAAAAAAATCAAAATGGTTTAACTATTGTGAGAATGAGCTATTTTCTGTTTGATTAGATTTTATAAATCTCAAAATAAATTAATAACAATTCAATAAAAAGCCTTTTGAAAGTTTAATATCGTTAAAATAAGTCGTAGCATAATAACTATATTTCGTCTAGCAAAAAATTAATTATATTCTTGATTGGTTTATTTGGTTTCATTAGAATAAAATAAATAATTAAAAACTTTGAGTGCAAGCTTAACAACTTTTTTATTGTGGTTAGAGCTATGGGATTTCGATCAAAGGTTTCAGGTTCAGACAGCCTTGTGTCAAGTAGAAGTAACATCAGTTTTCGCTTGAAAATGTAAATGGAAATGTTTCAGTAAAAATAAGCCTTGCATGGCATTGAGGCATCAATCAACCAAAATTAAAAATGCATCAAAATTTTAATAATGAAATTCATTATAGAAATAACTGTTTGGGGGTTAAGTTAATTAAGTCATATCAATACAATTATAAGATAGGGTAGAGCGGGACTTGAAGATTTGCGGTTAAAAAGGTCCACCGATGTCAAGAAAAGTAACGTATTTTTA